TATTTCGCCATTCCTGTTCAAGTTCGTCGTAGAAAAAATACCAGAGAACGCACTTAGTGGCCTCCAAAGTGGTGGCATTGAATGTGCAGCTAAAGAAAAGCTGTGCGACTTGATACGCTGATGACATCGTTTGTCTGATCGAATGTATAGAGGCTGCGCAAAGCGCTCTTGACTTTCAGGTTCAGGTGCTTTGCGCCTTCAAAGTGCAAAGTGATGCTGCAAGACTGGGTGTCGTCTAGCCCGGTGCTGATGCTTGACGGTCAAGAATCAGCTATAGTGGAATATCTCTCCTACTTAGGCAGCTCTGTGACAATGACGGTAGCACAGTCAATGCAGCAACTGTCCGCATTGTCAAACCTTGAGCAGCTTACGCAGGACAGAAGCACCTTTGGTGCCGACGTGGTTTCGTTGAAACTGAAAGGTCGTGTATAATGCGCCAGCGTGCAGCCAGTCCTGCTTTATGATTGCGAGACCCTAAACTTGCGCGTGAAAGATATTCCTTGTCCTATCGAGTGCACATTGGTCGGCTTCGCTGGTTAGGACACGTTTTGCGTATACCGCACCGCGCCTTATTCGCAGTCGCGGCTCCAGGTTGGAAGAAACCGCGTGGAGGTCAACAAATGACGTGGAAACGAGTCATGAAGAAATGCACAGAGTAATTAGATAGAATAGGCGTCCCCAGATTGGGGTCCAAAAGACTTCAACTGGTTGGTTGGAGATACTGAAGGATATGGCAACGGACAGAAGTAGCGTTCTTGTTATTTCCCATCAGTTTAGAACGCTTGACAAGGTACGAATGTACACTTAGATTGTGTACTGTGTTCACCATAGAGGTTCACTTTCTTTTTCTCCCTCCAATTAGGCTCAATCTCTCTCCATCTTGTGCTTTATCACTTGATTTGTATACATTGTGAGCTTGGCAGCGATCAGTGAAGTTCACTTTACTGAATCTCGCTGCACGATGATGATGATGATGATGATTCCAGGAGAATACCGAATCGAGCAACAGAACTTGCTAATTCGTCAACTGCGCTTTGTGCGGCCTCCGTCAATTCGGACAGAAAACTGATGTCGTCAGCGTACTCCAAATCGCAATGCTTTTCACAAGCTGCTTATTTAATGCTAACATTTTGGAGACCACTTAGTGTTCTTCAGTATTTCGTCCACGGCGAATTTGAATGGCAAAATGGAGCACCCTTGAGGAACACTGATCCTCACCGTAGACCCCTACTTTATCAGAGGTACGCAAGTACAGTGATTTCAATGTTAATGCACCCCAACGGCATTTCTTTTCCAAGAAGCGAACTCATCAACGCTTTGCGGTCAACTGAGTCCAAGGCTGCTTGTAGGTTAGGGAACACTGTGATCGTTGGTTGACGACGTACGGCGAAACTCGAGGACGTAATGGGAAGATTCGGTCGATACAACCTGGACTTGGTACGAGTCACGATGGTGGTTCATGGATATAAGTCTCTCTGAAAGGTATCAGACTTGGAAATATGACGAAGGCTAATACTTTCGTGACGACTGGGATCTAAGTCGAAGTCATCGATTCCCATCTTAAAAAGAGTAGCAGCCCGTCAGAGAGACTGCACTTCATTGAAACTAATGCATGATCAGACTCAAAGCAAGTGGTTTACTAATATGTCATCACAGTCCTCATGTTGAAAGCCCTACATTCAGTGATTCACGAGGTTCTAAAATCTGCAATTTAATTTGTCGTAAACTACTTTCAGCGTTATTCGGCAACGGGCCTTGGTGAATGACAATTTGTTTGATGGTATGTTACGGAACAGAGGAGTGACTAAAATGAGGGGATTGGCCTCGAAAGAGATGAAGGTTAAGTTAATAGATTGAAGATTGTTTACAGTTCTGCGAGGTGGTCACCGCTTGGTTACCCAGTGCAGAGTAAACCTCGCACAAGGATGCACCGTAGCCTCTGTGCAACTACGTGGAAACTGCAAGGCGGCAGCATTGCTTCAAGTGAGCTAGTTGTCAGTTGTCTGCTTTACAAGCCTCTTTCGGAGAACCTTGTTCAGTAAAGAAAACTCGACCAAGGGCAATATTCAAATTCAGAGGTGGATCAAATTCGCCACGTCAAAGCGCTGTTAAGGGTTTTGTGCGGAGAACCCTCACCAAGTGGTAAACTCACCACGTCCTCAGGTATTGCCGTTCATCGTTTACAGCCTCTTATTCAGTGAGCCTAGACCCGGAAAACTGGTTGTTGATCCCTTATCGGCGACCTGGCAAGGCCCCCGTCAACATGTAGCTATGCTCTTCCAAAGAGCGTTAAATGACTGTAGGACACCTGAGTTACCTTTGATAGTAATAAATTAGCCAGGAAAATGTTTCAGTTCGATCAAAAACTAGAGTAGTCGACTGACGCCCGGTGCATTACTAGTAATCGTCCCATTAGACAACCAGAAATCTGAATAGAACACAATGTTGTTGTTTTAAGTGGTTCATTTTCTTTGGCTAATACAACGCAATTTTCACCCGCTCATCCCAATCGTTGTCACATACAGACCAGAAACCATACCGGAAAAGTGTACATCATCTACATCTTTACGAACATTTAATTTTATTCTTTTTTGTATGTACTATTGTCACCCTCCTATTTATATCCCAGTTACATGAACCGTGGTGTATTTACCAGACGAATCTTGTCCGCTACATTTTATTTGAAATGCCTTGCGCAGTGTCATTAAACAGCATTCTCGGACGCCGAGGTTGAACAAGTGTCATATCCTTCTTACATTCACAATTAATTAGTATGATTTGCAGCGCACATTTAAAAACAACTAGTTCTGGCTGGGGTGCCAGCGGTTTTCCAAGTGGGTATGTAATTTCATTTGCGTAGGCTAGATCAAAAACTTTGAATCCTGTGGGTGGGTATTACTTTTCCAATAGCAAATCACTATGATCAGAAATTCCAAGGGCAAACAACAGCATGCCTATGGTCAGGGGCAGTGACGTTTAAAAGCAAATATGCAGGTTTCATTTAACAAAGGTTTTTGTGGCACTTCTAAAGATCATTAATAAACTCTTGTCTGTCAACCAGACCAATCACCTTCGTATTCATAATGAGTATCATCAACTAGAAACATCAATCACGGGAGTCTTGGTTTTTACCGTTCATATGGATTCAAATATAAAAAACAAGAACTCACCTGCAATATTAGCTCCCGTTTATCTTGAGAGATGCCACCGTGGAAAACATGACAATCCGTACTCATAGAAGCATGAGCAGCCAGCTCATCGGCGTCGTTTTTGCGTTCGCAAAATATGATGCAACGCGAATTTTTATTTGGGCAATAAGCACGAATGACATCTGCCAATGTGGATCCACGCTCAACGTAGGGGCAAGGCAACGCTAAATGCTAATTTTACATTAGGAATGGTCCGAAGTAGCCTACCGTAACGTTATTGGAGGTTTTGTTTTCTTGACCCTGTATAAGAGATAAGTGCACTGCATCTTTTGATAGATATGATTTAGCGACGGAAGAAACCCAGGCTGGCATTGTGGCGGAGAACAGTAATGTCTGAGGCTTCTCGTTGCCCTCGCTGTACAAACCGGACAAGATGCTTTCCACATCTTTGCTAAAACCCATATCCAACATTCTATCAACTTCATCGAGAACAACATGGCCTAGATTGGAAAGATTCAGAACAGACTTCTCCATGAGGTCAATAACACGGCCTGGCGTTCCAACAACGATATCAGTACCCTTTCGTAATGCTCTACCTACATGAAGCAGATAGTCAGTACATCAAAACATCAACTCACATTGAGGCCCTAATGGAACTCCTCCGTAAATCGCCAACACGCACAAATCGTCCTTGCATAATGTTTGAAAGTCCGAAGTGATTTGATTCACTAGCTCCCTTGTGGGTGCAAGAACGAGCACCGTAGGAGGCCTGGCATGTTGCCTTTTTGTTGACAAAACACTTTTGACTACAGGCAGAGAAAAAGCTAGTGTTTTTCCTGTTCCAGTGCCTATGAAAAGGATCAAAACAACAATCGAGAGATGACATACGGGCCAAAACCACGACATCTTTTCCTGAAACGATTGATTCGTAGCTTAGATACTGCACAGGGAAAAGCCTCGAGACTCCCCTTTCTTTGAGCCGCTTTTGGAGTATCACAGGAATGTCGAACCGCGATAATTCACCAGCATCTTCTGGGGTGTCTGGAACCGAAGGCATGGAAAGCAACGTGCCTGGCGTGAATCACTAATACACCACCAATCGCCTATTCGTCGAAAGTCCTGATTGGTTTATTCAAGGTCAGTCGGGTCTTCAGTTCAGTTCAGTTCCAGGACGTTGACGGCGGTGTGCCAGTTAGTCCAGTTTCC